AATTAAGCAACCATTGGAAAGACGTTCTAAATCGAACTAAACATTAAACTAATTTCAATGGTACAGTATATTTTTTCAAGTAGTGGTACCCCAAACTTTCGCAGCTCTTAAATTCCCTTTTCACACCATCAATTGGTAAACTCCCCCCCCCCCTCCCCCCGCGCCAAACGGCAAGTCCACCGGCACGTACACCACCTCTTTCCTAAAATCCGCCAATCAAATGCTAATTTTTAATGCTAATTTCTTTGTCAGAACACCTTGTTTGCTCGCACACAGGTCCGATGGCTGAGCGTGGTTGTGTTTCGCTAAATTCTCCTGTTTGATGAGTACTAGGTGCCTCGGTGAATGTATATGCTGTAACTTTAACATAGCTATTTCTGTGACCAGTTACAAGCTAATCACTCAGCTATTTCAATGCTAAATTCGATGCTAATTCCTTTGTCAAGGGGTACCTCTGCAGATGTGTATACTTTAACTTAGCTATTTCAATGAGCCATTTCAATGCTAAATTATATGCTAATTCCTTTGTCAAGGCGCGTGGTCTTTTTCTTCTCACAGCTTAAAGGTCATGATCTAAGCGTGGCTTCTTCCACTCCAGCGCTGTCCTCCAGACAGTCTCGTCCCTTCACCTGATGAAGGCCGCTTGTGTTGTGGCCGAAACGTCGTGATTTTTTGTTATTTTATTTTCACCTACGTGACTTTACCCAATAGAACCAAAGAGTGTGGTGGTGGTGGTGGTTAAGCGTCCGATCCAGGGTGACTCCTAAATGCCGAGGGTGTTCGCCGTGCCTCAGCTTTGCCCCGCAGAAGTTAACGTTCAACGTTTTCGAAGGTCGTCCGTTGTTCGGGTCGAAGGCGGGGGGGGGCGGCGCTCTTCGATGGGTTCGGCTTTCGGCGCCGATTCTCGAAGCATTCTTCCAGAGTCTTCAGATCGTTTTCGAGGACTGCCTCAGCGTCCTCCGTTTCCCGTGCTTGAGTTGCGAGTGCGATATCCACGCGTGTGGACACGCAGCAAAATGTCGCTCGTGTGGAGATTATACAGCGCTGGGGCCAGAACTGATCCCTGCGGGAGCCCGTTGTTCGATCTTCGTGGGCTGCTGGCAGCAAGGTGAAAGTTGAACCATCGGTTGCTCAGCATTTCGCTCATTAGTCTAATTGTCGGACGGCAAGGCACGCCTTGTAAAGAAATTAGTTTCGTCAGTCTAGATGATGATTTAAAAGTGCATCACAGCTCCCCGTGGCCTTTTCGGCAATCGGAAGAGCGTTCCAGACGGCCGCAGAGGGCGCCGAGCGATGCGGTGACCACCGTCTTTGTGACTACGGTCAGCCAATAGCCGCTGCCGCGAGGATGATGACCAGAGTTGGGGCGATGAGGGTTCACAGCTCCTTGACGAGGTCGGCAGCAAAGGGGGAATTCGCGGGTTCATTTTGTGGGCCAGGCCACTGCGTGTGTGTGTGCGCGTGACTGCCAAGAGAGACTTCGAGAGGAGTCCACCAGCCAAGGGAGACGGGAGCGACTACACTGTTTGCCGACGGAGAGTTGCACAACGGATCCTGTCATGGCCGCGGGGAGGGGGGTATGCGGGCGGCCGGGCAAGCAAGGGTTGGTGGATCACAGGCAGATGGGATGCGAAAGTCCCCTCCCCCTCCTCATATCCCCCCCCCCCCCCCCCCCGGCTTTGCCGGGGAGGCGGCAGCAACGGGATACAGCGTTGCTCCTTCTCGCACCCCATGTCGCGCGCGTGGGTGTACACAGCTCCTACAGGTTTCCTTCCGCACATATAAACACTCCTCAATCGACTCGACATCTCAACATGTACAGGGACTCCTCTACTTACGAACACTCGACGTACGAACTTTGAGAGATGGGAACAAACCCGTCCCGTATTTGTCCAGTTGCCTGCTTGGACCGAGAGTCACAAGTTCAACTGCTGCGCAATAGATGGCGGTGTTGGCATCTACATCTGCAGAACGTGAAGAACCAGTGGCATCTACATCTGTAGAACGTGAAGAACCAGTGGCATCTACATCTGTAGAACGTGAAGAACCAGTGGCATCTACATCTTCAAAATGTGAAGTACCAGTGGCATCTACAGGAGATTATACAACTTTTAAAGCCATTTCCCGTGTTTAGTGTACATGCCGTACAACACGTTTGGAATCGAAGGGAGTGAAGTTTAACACGTAGGCTGTTTAACACGTAGCCTTTTGCGACCAAGATCATCCATAAGCCAGGTTTTTTTGGGTTAGATCGCGTAAATGTGTCGTTAAACCCGCCACCACAGCCAATTAGTAAGGGTTGTCATGTAAACAGAACGTGGCCAATTAACCACACCGGTGTTCTGGAGAGCCAAACCACAACATTTACAATCCGAGTACGACGTTTCGCCAACGATTGCAATTAGCTTCATCAGGCGACAGCCAGTCCACCTGTCTCGTTCCTTACATAGAGGCATCGATGTAATGACAACGCTTGTACGCTATTTTTGCGCAAAGTGGGGGGGGGGGGATTAATGAATCGACGTGTATCATTGCATGCGCATTATGGGAGGCCCATTGTGTGGACTACAATAGCCGTCCCAAAGGTAATCCCTATTGAAGTACTGTGGCCTGTATGGGCATACATTTAAACTAAGTATTATTTGACGATTCGTGTCCAAGCAGCACTAAGTCAGTAGCTGTCCAAACGGTTGAAATTATTTTTTATTTCTTTCAATTTCGATAGATTCTCAAATTAGTCTTGCCCAGTAGAAGCTTATTTCGCGCAGAACTTCAACATCAATTGAGTGTCCTTGTTGGCACGCGTGTTCTGCTACCGTTGACAATTTCACTTGTCAAGACTATCACTTTCTTAGGCCGACGAATGAGCATCTTGATGAGAGTGGATTTCTGCGTGGGGCGATGGGTGTGACTCCTGCATTCAGGTAGGTGTCAGCGTGCGTTTTCGTTCGGTAAACGCCGTATTTTTATTTTACCATTTCGACTCCCGTTCGAGCAGATCATCCAGAAATGGTAAGAGTTCCGTCAGCTTCCACCTCCATCCAAGCAGGATGTCGTAATTACGAATAAATCGGACTTACTAACCGGACCTCGGAAACCCAACTCGTTTGTACGTAGAGGAGTCCCCCGTATATAAGACACCGCCAGAGCTTGGGCAATTGCTGTTGCTGCCTTACGGCTTCGTCTGTGGTTCCTCCACGCATTCATGGGGGGAGGGGTGAGGGAGCGGGGAAAGCCTCCATCCATTACAGCTGACAGCAGCGGGGGAATAGAATCGTAGGGCGGGGGGCGAAACCAGAAACCGTGGCAGACACAAATGAAAAACTTCTGTACAACAAAAACAACAACGGCCACACACGGAGGAGGGGGGAGGGGGGGGGGAGTAATAAAACAAAACCGCAGAATACAACAACAACGACGAGAAAATTTGGCCGGCGGATCCTGAATGGCGGCGTCTCATTCCCTGCCGACCGCCTGGGTTGTTCTTCAACTTGACCCTGGAAAGTCTCGCTGCAGAGTCTCAGCACCTCGTCGTCAGGAGGTCCCTGCCAGGTGTTTTGGCAGTAGAGGGGGGTGGCGATGCTGCTGCTGCTGCTGCTGATGATGATGCCGAGTGGTCTACCCCGAGGGGCACCAACACCGCTTTGCAAACTCGCGGCCAAACCGATATCGGCACCGTGGCGAACCCCACCGCGCACGTCTCCACGCTCGCCCCGGCAAAACCGCGCCGGCCGCCGGGTCCGCCGTCACCGGGGGCCCGAAATCCGGCAGGGGCTCGCCGGGGCCAATCTGGCCTCGACCGGGCCGATCCGGTTCATCGTGCCGAACACCGGCTCCATCCTCCCGCCGCCCCCCGCGTCAGTTGAACACGTTCACCCCAGCCGCGACCGCCGCCAGCCCCTCCTGGAAGAGGACGGCCGAGAGTTTGACGTCCATGGCGGTCGCCGGCGCCGGCGGCGCCGTGAGCACGCTGACGGCGCGGCCCGGGTACGGCTGCATGCCGGGCGCCGTCACCCACAGCGGCAGCCCCTCGCCGCCGCCGCCGCCGATGCCGCCGATGCCGCCGATGCCGTAACCGCCGACGCCGACGCCGCCGCCGCCGCCGAGACCGGCGCCGCCTCCTCCGGCCACCTTCACGCCGCCGTAGGCCAGGACTTCCGCCGCCACCATCGGCGCCGCCCGGCCACAGCAGCTTCCTGCCGCCGCCGCCGACGCCGCCGACGCCGCCGCTGCTCATGCCGTGGCCGGGGCCGATGTTGCCGCCGCCGCCGCCGCCGCCGCCGATGTGGCTACCGCCGATGTGGCCGATGCCGCCGCCGATGACGTTGCCGCCGCCGATGTGGCCGATGTTGCCGCCACCACTGCCGATGTGGCCGATGCTGCCGCCGCCGATGTGGCCGATGCTGCCGCCGCCGCCGCCGCCGCCGATGTGGCCGCCGCCGCCGCCGATGTGGCCGCCGCCACCGCCCATGTGGCCGCCGCCTACGTGGCCGATGCCGCCGGCGACAATGTTGCCAGCGGCGATCATGTTGCCGCCGCCAATGTGGCCGACGTGGCCGCCGCCGCCGCCGACGCCGTGACCGCCGTTCCCTCCGCCGCCGACGCTCGCGACGGCGTCCTCGCCCAACAGCACCCTGCGCCCGCCGCCCCCACCCCCGCCGCCGCCCCCGCCCCCGCCCCCGCCCCCGGCCAGGTGCGTGTGCACGTGCTTGCGCAGGTGGTCCGAGCGTGTGAAGGCGACGCCGCACACCTCGCACGCGAACGGCCGCTCGCCCGTGTGCGTGCGCACGTGGTTGGCCAGCGTGCCCGCCTGAAAGAAGCCGGCGCCGCACGTGCCGCACACGTGCCGGCGCTCCCGCTCGGCCGCGTGCGTCTTGCGGTGGATGCTCACGGCGGCGGCCGTCGCGAACGCTTTGCCGCAGGAGCCGCAGGGGTGCGGCCGGAGCCCGCCGGCGTGCCGCCGCTGGCGGTGCTCCAGGAGGCCGTGCTTCGACTTGTACGTCTTGCCGCACTCCTCGCACTGGAAGGGCCTCAGGCCCAGGTGCACGTGGTTCACGTGGGCCCGGAGGCTCGCCATCCAGCCGAAGCTCTTGCCGCAGCCGTCGCAGCCGAAGGGCCTCTCGCCCCGGTGCACCGTCTGGTGGGTGCTCAGGTAGGCCTTGGAGCGGAAGCCCTTGCCGCACGTGCCGCAGCCGAAGGGCTCCGAGCCGCGGGCCGCGTGCGCCGTCTGCCGGTGCTTGGCGATGCCGTGGGGCCAGCGGAAGGTCTTGGGGCAGAGGTCGCAGGCGTAGCTGGGCCGCTGGGGCGCGTGCACCACGGCGTGGCGCCGCAGGTCGGCGGGCAGCGCGAAGCCCTTGCCGCACTCGCCGCAGCGCAGCGGCCGCTCGCCCGTGTGCAGCGAGCGGTGCCGCAGGAGGTGGGTGGACTGGCGGAAGGCCTTGCCGCACTGCGGGCACGCGTAGCGCTTGGCCTGCCCGCGGCGAGGCGCCGACGACGACGACGACGACGACGACGCGGGGGGCGGGGGGCGGGACGACGACGGCGGAGAGGAGGAGGAGGAGGAGGGGGGGGGGCGACGACGGCGGCGGCGGGGGGGGGGGGCGGCACGTCGCCACGCGGTCGCTCGAGGCCGAGTGTCTTCGTGGGGTCTGTTGAGGCAGAGCGGGGGAGTGGTGGGGGGGGGCCCACGGGGGGTGGGGGGGCCCACGGGGGAGGGGCCCACAGGGGGGGGGGCCCACAGGGGGGGGGGGCCCACGGGGGGGGGGGTATTGGGTGGCGTTGGTTAGGAACATTGCGGGCCCGGTGTTCGACCGAATGTGGCGAGACCACACGGCAGCAGCAGCAGCAGCATGGCTACCCCCTACTGACAGACTGATCCACAGTGACAGCTGCCACTGGGGGTGCCCCTAGGCCAGACCCACACAGCAGCAGCAGCAGCAGCATGGCTACCCCCTACTGACTGATGTACAGGGACAGCTGCCACTGGGGGTGCCCCTAGGCCAGACCCACACAGCAGCAGCAGCAGCAGCATGGCTACCCCCTACTGACTGACTGATGCACGGGGACAGCTGCCACTGGGGGTGCCCCTAGGCCAGACCCACACAGCAGCAGCATCGCTACCCCCTACTGACAGACTGATGTACAGGGACAGCTGCCGCAATTATTTCCGTGGTAGCAGCGGTGGCGGTGGTGTCGGTGGTAGCAGCGGTAACTGCGGAAGTGGTGGTGGCGGTGGTGGCTGTGGTAGCTGTGGTAGTGATGGTGGCGGTGGTAGCTGTGGTAGTGATGATGGCGGTGGTAGCTGTGGTAGTGGTGGTAGATGTGGTAGCTGTGGTAGCTGTGGTGACTGAGGTAGCGGTGGTGACTCTGGTAGCTGTGGTAGCTGTGGTAGCGGCAGGGGTAGCTGTGGCTGTGGTAGCTGTGGTAGCGGTGGTAGCAGTGGTAGCGGTGGTGGCGGTGGTAGCTGTGGTAGCGGGGGTAGCTGTGGTACCGATGGTGACTGAGGTAGCGGTGGTGACTGAGGTAGCGGTGGTGACTGAGGTAGCTGTGGTGACTGAGGTAGCTGTGGTGACTGAGGTAGCGGCGGTGACTGAGGTAGCGGTGGTGACTGCGGCAGCTGTGGTAGCGGTGGTGACTGTGGTAGCGATGGTAGCTGTGGTGACTGAGGTAGCGGCGGTGGTGGAATTCCGGTGCGGTTCAACGCGCACCCGCCGCTATCAAGCGTGACCAACCCAGCGGCTGCCGCCACTCAACATCCACCACCACCCCCACCCCCCCACCCCCCACGCCCCCCACCCCCCCCACCCCAGGCTACCTTCCACCTTGACCTCGACGCCGGCCTCCCCGCCGTCGAGCCGCTCCTGCTTCACCGCCTGCGCCGCAGCGCCGTCACCTGCCAGGGGCGCGAGCGGAGGGGGCGTGGCGGCGGCTTGAGGAGTGTTGCCCAACAAAACACGTCACGTGCACGAGGCCGCGAATGTCTCCGTGGTCACGTGCACGAGGCCGCGAATGTCTCCGTGGTCACGCGCACGAGGCCGCGAATGTCTCCGTGGTCACGTGCACGAGGCCGCGAATGTCTCCGTGGTCACGTGCACGAGGCCGCGAATGTCTCCGTGGTCACGTGCACGAGGCCGCGAATGTCTCCGTGGTCACGTGCACGAGGCCGCGAATGTCTCCGTGGTCACGTGCACGAGGCCGCGAATGTCTCCGTGGTCACGTGCACGAGGCCGCGAATGTCTCCGTGGTCACGCGCACGAGGCCGCGAATGTCTCCGTGGTCACGTGCACGAGGCCGCGAATGTCTCCGTGGTCACGTGCACGAGGCCGCGAATGTCTCCGTGGTCACGTGCACGAGGCCGCGAATGTCTCCGTGGTCACGTGCACGATGGCCGCGAATGTCTCCGTGGTCACGTGCACGAGGCCGCGAATGTCTCCGTGGTCACGTGCACGAGGCCGCGAATGTCTCCGTGGTCACGTGCACGAGGCCGCGAATGTCTCCGTGGTCACGTGCACGAGGCCGCGAATGTCTCCGTGGTCACGTGCACGAGGCCGCGAATGTCTCCGTGGTCACGTGCACGAGGCCGCGAATGTCTCCGTGGTCACGTGCACGAGGCCGCGAATGTCTCCGTGGTCACGTGCACGAGGCCGCGAATGTCTCCGTGGTCACGTGCACGAGGCCAACACGGCGGCGGCGTGCGCAGCGGCGTAGCCGGCCGTGACCGCACCGACCGAGGCCCGCTTAACTCTATGGGACGTCCGGCAAACAGACAGGCAAGCGAAAACAAACGGGGGCGAGCCGCGGCAGGCGAAGCGCCCTCCGGCTGCGGGTCGTGCCGTGACGGCCACCGCGAGAGATCCCACCGTGCCCCGGTGCCGGGTGTCGCCAAAACGGACACGTTTTGGCGAGACCCGGCACCCGGTGACTTGCGGCAGATGAACCGCACCGCCTCGCTCGCTATTTCACCCTCAGGGCGGAGGCTTTTGGTGGTTCGCCGTCGGACAAAGACGGAACGCCCCTTTCCTTCCGATGTTCGGAAGCCACTGGAAGCCACGCGCCATCAAATCGTGTACAGTTGACGAACTAAATTTTGTTCGGAACTAAATGGCACGGTTTTGCCTATGTACGGTGCCGCGGAAGAAGTTCAACGTACACACATACGTACGTACGTCCTGTCAAGTGTTCTTGCAGCGGGGGGTTTAGCTGTGGGAGGGGAGCGGAGAACCCGGAGGGCCATGCAGACCAGGGGGATCACTCACTCACACTGTAGAACAGGGCTAGAACACACAAACTCCACTCACTCACTCTGTAGAACAGGAGTAGAACACACAAACTCCACTCACTGTGTAGAACAGAGGTAGAACACACAAACTCCACTCACTCACTGTGTAGAACAGAGGTAGAACACACAAACTCCACTAACTCACTCTGTAGAACAGGGGTACAACACACAAACTCCACTCACTCACTCTGTAGAACAGGGCTAGAACACACAAACTCCACTCACTCACTCTGTAGAACAGGAGTAGAACACACAAACTCCACTCACTCACTCTGTAGAACAGGGCTAGAACATACAAACTCCACTCACTCACACTGTAGAACAGGGCTAGAACACACAAACTCCACTCACTCATTCTGTAGAACAGGGCTAGAACACACAAACTCCACTCACTCACACTGTAGAACAGGGGTAGAACACACAAACTCCACTCACTCTGTAGAACAGGGGTAGAACACACACACTCCACTCACTCACTCTGTAGAACAGGAGTAGAACATACAAACTCTACTCACTCTGTAGAACAGGGCTAGAACACACAAACTCCACTCACTCACTCTGTAGAACAGGAGTAGAACACACAAACTCCACTCACTCACTCTGTAGAACAGGAGTAGAACACACAAACTCCACTCACTCACTGTGTAGAACAGGAATAGAACACACAAACTCCACTCACTCACTGTGTAGAACAGGGCTAGAACACAAACTCCACTCACTCACTCTGTAGAACAGGTGTAGAACACACAAACTCCACTCACTCACTCTGTAGAACAGGGATAGAACACACAAACTCCACTCACTCACTCTGTAGAACAGGAGTAGAACACACAAACTCCACTCACTCACTCTGTAGAACAGGGGTAGAACACACAAACTCCACTCACTCTGTAGAACAGGGCTAGAACACAAACTCCACTCACTCACTCTGTAGAACAGGGCTAGAACACACAAACTCTACTCACTCACTCTGTAGAACAGGGCTAGAACACACAAACTCCACTCACTCACTGTGTAGAACAGGAGTAGAACACACAAACTCCACTCACTCACACTGTAGAACAGGGGTAGAACACACAAACTCCACTCACTCACTCTGTAGAACAGGAGTAGAAAACACAAACTCCACTCACTCACTCTGTAGAACAGGGCTAGAACACACAAACTCCACTCACTCACTGTGTAGAACAGGAGTAGAACACACAAACTCCACTCACTCTGTAGAACAGGGCTAGAACACACAAACTCCACTCACACTGTAGAACAGGAGTAGACCACACAAACTCCACTCACTCCCTCTGTAGAACAGAAGTAGAACACACAAACTCCACTCACTCACTCTGTAGGACAGGGCTAGAACACACAAACTCCACTCACACTCACTCTGTAGAATAGGGCTAGAACACACAAACTCCACTCACTCACTCTGTAAAACAGGAGTAGAACACACAAACTCCACTCACTCACTCTGTAGAACAGGAGTAGAACACACAAACTCCACTTACTCCGTAGAACAGGGATAGAACACACAAACTCCACTCACTCACTCTGTAGAACACGGCTAAAACACACAAACTCCACTAACTCACTCTGTAGAACTGGAGTAGAACACACAAACTCCACTCACTAACTCTGTAGAACAGGAGTAGAACACACAAACTCCACTAACTCACTCTGTACAACAGGGCTAGAACACACAAACTCCACTCACTCACTCTGTAGAACAGGGCTAGAACACACAAACTCCACTCACTCACTCTGTAGAACAGGGCTAGAACACACAAACTCCACACACTCACTCTGTAGAACAGGAGTAGAAGACACAAACTCCACCCACTCTGTAGAACAGGAGTTGAACACACAAACTCCACTCACTCACTCTGTAGAACAGAGCTAGAACACACAAACTCCACCCACTCACTCTGTAGAACAGGAGTAGAACACACAAACTCCACTCACTCACTGTAGAACAGGAGTAGAACACCCCAACTCCACCCACTCACTCTGTAGAACAGGAGTTGAACACACAAACTCCACTCACTCACTCTGCTGAACAGGAGTAGAACACACAAACTCCACTCACTCACTGTAGAACAGGAGTAGAACACTCCAACTCCACCCACTCACTCTGTAGAACAGGAGTTGAACACTCAAACTCCACTCACTCACTCTGTAGAACAGGAGTAGAACACACAAACTCCACTCACTCTGTAGAACAGGGCTAGAACACACAAACTCCACTCACTCTGTAGAACAGGAGTAGAACACTCCAACTCCACCCACTCACTCTGTAGAACAGGAGTAGAACACACAAACTCCACTCACTCTCACTGTAGAACAGGAGTAGAACACACAAACTCCACTCACTCTGTAGAACAGGGCTAGAACACACAAACTCCACTCACTCACTCTGTAGAACAGGGCTAGAACACACAAACTCCACTCACTCACTCTGTAGAACAGGGCTAGAACACACAAACTCCACTCACTCACTCTGTAGAACAGGAGTAGAACACACAAACTCCACTCACTCACTCTGTAGAACAGGGCTAGAACACACAAACTCCACTAACTCACTCTGTAGAACAGGGCTAGAACACACAAACTCCACTCACTCACTCTGTAGAACAGGAGTAGAACACACAAACTCCACTCACTCACTCTGCTGAACAGGAGTAGAACACACAAACTCCACTCACACTCACTCTGTAGAACAGGGGTAGAACACACAAACTCCACTCACTCACTCTGTAGAACAGGGCTAGAACACACAAATTCCACTCACTCATGACCACCACCGTCACCACCACCACCGTCACAACCACCACCGTCACCACCACCGTCACCACCACCGTCACCACCACCGTCACCACCACCGTCACCACCACCGTCACCACCACCACCGTCACCACCACCACCGTCACCGTCACCACCACCACCGTCACCGTCACCACCACCGTCACCGTCACCACCACCGTCACCACCACCGCCACCACCACCACCGTCACCACCACCGCCACCACCACCGGCACCACCACCACGGTCACCACCACCACGGTCACCACCACCGTCACCACCACCGTCACCACCACCGTCACCACCACCACCACCACAGTCACCACCACAGTCACCACCACCACAGTCACCACCACCGTCACCACCACCGCCACCACCACCGTCACCACCACCGTCACCACCACCGCCACCACCACCACCACAGTCACCACCACCACCGTCACCACCACCGCCACCACCACCACCACAGTCACCACCACCACCGTCGTCACCACCACCACAGTCACCACCACCACCACCACCACAGTCACCACCACCACCACAGTCACCACCACCGTCCCCACCGCCCCGCGCCCCACCATTGTGGCCGGCGCCGTGTGCGCAGTACGCCCGCTGGTGCTCCACAAGGGTGCGGCGGTGTTTGAAGCCCTTGCCGCAGCCCTCGCACTGGAACTCGCGCACGTCGCTGTGCGAGCGCCGGTGGTGCACCAGGTTCTGGGACCAGCGGAACGCCTTGCCGCACTCCTGCACGCGCGGAGACACGGGGTGGGGACGGATGGGGGTGGATGGGGAAGGACAGAGCCGGAGAAATGGAGAGCCGGAGAAAGGGAGAGAGACGGAGAGAGACGGGCAGAGAGGGAGAGATAGGGAGAGAGGGACAGGAAGAGAGACGGAGAGACAGGGAGAGAGAGACACAGGGAGAGAGAGACAGGGAGAGATAGGGAGAAAGACAGGGAGAGAGAGGGAGAGACAGGGAGAGAGAGGGAGAGACAGGGAGAGAAAGACACAGGGAGAGAGAGACAGGGAGAGAGAGACACAGGGAGAGAGAGACAGGGAGAGAGAGACACAGGGAGAGAGAGAGACAGGGAGAGAGAGACAGGGAGAGAGAGACATAGGGAGAGAGAGACAGGGAGAGATAGGGAGAGAGACAGGGAGAGATAGGGAGAGAGACAGGGAGGGAGACAGGGAGAGAGACAGGGAGAGACATAGGGAGAGACATAGGGAGAGACACAGGGAGAGAGACGGAGAGAGAGACAGGGAGAGAGACACAGGGAGAGAGACACAGGGAGAGAGACACAGGGAGAGAGACACAGGGAGAGAGAGACAGCGAGAGAGAGACAGCGAGAGAGACGGAGAGACAGGGAGAGAGACACAGGGAGAGAGACAGGGAGGGAGACACAGGGAGAGAGACATGGAGGCAGAGCGACAGCGAAGCGATCTCTTCTGATCGATGAGAAAGCCGAGCGAATGAGCCTGCGACTGTGCGGGCCTGTGACTGTGCGCGGGCGTGAGACCGTGCACGTGACTGCTTGTGCGTGTGACTGTGCGTGTGACTGTGCGTGTGACTGTGCGTGTGACTGTGCTTGTGACTGTGCGTGTGACTGTGTGCGTGTGACTGTGACTGTGCGTGTGACTGTGACTGTGTGCGTGTGACTGTGACTGTGTGCGTGTGACTGTGTGTGTGACTGTGCGTGTGACTGTGCGTGTGACTGTGACTGTGTGCGTGTGACTGTGCGTGTGACTGTGCGTGTGACTGTGACTGTGTGCGTGTGACTGTGCGTGTGACTGTGCGTGTGACTGTGCGTGTGACTGTGTGTGTGACTGTGCGTGTGACTGTGCGTGTGACTGTGTGTGTGACTCTGTGTGTGACTGTGCGTGTGACTGTGCTTGTGCGTGTGGTGGTTGAGAGGAGGGCCCCACCTGGCAGGCGTAGGGCCGCTGCTCCGTGTGGATGATGGCGTGCCGGTTGAGGTCGGCCTGCAGGGCGAAGGCCTTGCCGCACGCCCCGCACTTGAGGGGCCGCTCGCCCGTGTGCAGCGTCTGGTGGCGGAACAGGTCGGTGGACTGGCGGAACTCCTTGCCGCACTCCTACGGGGGGACACACGGACACACGGAGGTAGATACACACACGGACACACACATAGACACACGGAGATAGATACAGAGACACACAGAGATACACGGAGATAGATACACACAGAGACACACATAGATACACAGAAACACATAGATACACACAGACACACACATAGACACACGGAGGTAGTTACACACAGACACACATAGATACACGGAGGTAGATATACAGAGACACACACATAGACACACGGAGGTAGATACACACACGGACACACACATAGATACACGGAGATACACATAGACACACGGACACACACATAGACACACGCAGGTAGATATACAGAGACACACGGAGGTAGATACACACACGGACACACACATAGACACACGGAGATAGACACAGAGACACACACAGAGACACACGGAGGTAGATATACACAGACACACATAGACACACGGAGATAGATATACAGAGACCCACACAGAGATAGATACACAGAGACACACATAGATACACGGAGGTACACACAGACACACATAGACACACGGAGGTAGATACACACGCAGAGACACACATAGAGATAGATACACAGAGATAGATACACAGAGACACACATAGATACACAGATAGATACACATAGACACACATAGACACACGGAGGTAGATACACACAGACACACACATAGACACACGGAGGTAGATACAGAGACACACATAGATACACAGAGATAGATACAGAGACACACATAGACACACGGAGGTAGATACACACAGAGACACACATAGATACACAGAGATAGATACAGAGACACACAGAGATACACGGAGATAGATACACACAGAGACACACATAGATACACAGAGATAGATACACACAGAGATAGACAAAGAGACACACATAGATACACAGAGATAGATACACACACAGAGACACACATAGATACACGGAGGTAGATACACACGCAGAGACACAAAGATACACAGAGATAGATACAGAGACACACATAGATACACGGAGATAGATACACACAGAGACACACATAGATACACGGAGATAGATACACACAGAGACACACATAGATACACAGAAACACATAGATACACACAGAGACACACACAGAGACACACATAGATACATAGATACACGAAGATAGATACACACGCAGAGACCCACATAGATACACGGAGGTAGATACACACAGACACACATAGATACACGGAGATAGATATACAGAGACCCACAGAGATACACAGAGATAGATACACACACAGAGACAGACATAGATACACGGAGATAGATACACAGAGACACACACAGAGATACTAGGTGTCACCTGAATATACACACGTGTAGTGACGTACTAGGTGTTACTTGAATATACACACGTGTAGTGACGTACTAGGTGTCACCTGAATATACACACGTGTAGTGACGTACTCTCACCTGAATATACACACGTGTAGTGATGTACTAGGTGTCACCTGAATATACACACGTGTAGTGACGTACTAGGTGTCACCTGAATATACACACGTGTAGTGACGTACTAGGTGTCACCTGAATATACACACGTGTAGTGACGTACTAGGTGTCACCTGAATATACACACGTGTAGTGACGTACTAGGTGTCACCTGAATATACACACGTGTAGTGACGTACTAGGTGTCACTTGAATATACACACGTGTAGTGACGTACTAGATGTCACCTGAATATACACACGTGTAGTGACGTACTAGGTGTCACCTGAATATACACACGTGTAGTGACGTACTAGGTGTCACTTGAATATACACACGTGTAGTGACGTACTAGGTGTCACTTGAAAATACACACGTGTAGTGACGTACTAGATGTGACTTGAATATACACACGTGTAGTGACGTACTAGATGTCACCTGAATATACACACGTGTAGTGATGTACTAGGTGCCACCTGAATATACACACGTGTAGTGATGTACTAGGTGTCACCTGAATATACACACGTGTAGTGACGTGCTAGATGTCACCTGAATATACACACGTGTAGTGACGTACTAGGTGTCACCTGAATATACACACGTGTAGTGACGTACTACGTGTCACCTGAATATACACACGTGTAGTGACGTACTAGGTGTCACTTGAATATACACACGTGTAGTGACGTACTAGGTGTTACTTGAATATACACACATGTAGTGACGTACTAGGTGTCACCTGAATATACACACGTGTAGTGACGTACTAGGTGTCACCTGAATATACACACGTGTAGTGACGTACTAGGTGTCACCTGAATATACACACGTGTAGTGACATACTAGATGTCACCTGAATATACACACGTGTAGTGACGTACTAGGTGTTACCTGAATATACACACGTGTAGTGACGTACTAGGTGTCACGTGAATATACACACGTGTAGTGATGTACTAGATGTTACTTGAATATACACACGTGTAGTGACGTACTATGTGTCACCTGAATATACACACGTGTAGTGACGTACTAGGTGTCACTTGAATATACACACGTGTAGTGACGTACTAGATGTCACCTGAATATACACACGTGTAGTGACGTGCTAGGTGTTACTTGAATATACACGCGTGTAGTGACGTACTAGATGTTACCTGAATATACACACGTGTAGTGACGTACTAGGTGTCACCTGAGGGCAGAGACAGCACCAAGGAACAAATGGGACTGCAGGGGCATAGCTCTGTCAACAGTGAGAGAGAGGGCGGGTGAGGACATGGTCCTTGGGTGGACCCGGGGAGGACACGTGACCAGACGAGGTGGAAAGGTGCCTTACCTGGTAAAATAAAAATAGTTTAGCTTAGACTTTGGGTCTGTATGTGTCTCTATGTATCTCTATGGATCTCTATGGGTCTGTATGTATATCTACATGTCTCTATGCATCTCTGTGGGTCTGTATGTATATCTACGTGTCTCTACGGCTCTCTAGGTATATCTATGGGTATCTATGGGTCTCTATGGATCTCTATGGATCTCTATGGGTCTGCATGTATCTCTATGGGTCTGTATGTATCTCTATGGGTCTGTATGTATCTCTATGGGTATCTATGGGTCTGCATGTATCTCTATGGGTATCTATGGGTCTGTATGTATCTCTATGGGTATCTATGGGTCTGTATGTATCTCTATGGGTCTGTATGTATCTATATGGGTCTGTACCTCTATGGGTATCTATGGGTCTGTATGTATCTCTTTGGGTATCTATGGGTCTGTATGTATCTCTATGGGTCTGTATGTATCTCTATGGGTCTCTATGGGTCTGTATGTATCTCTATGGGTCTCTATGTGTCTGTATGTATCTCTATGGGTCTCTATGGGTCTGTATGTATCTCTATGGGTCTGTATGTATCTCTATGGGTCTGTATGTATCTCTATGGGTCTCTATGGGTCTGTATGTATCTATATGGGTCTGTATCTCTATGGGTATCTATGGGTCTGTATGTATCTCTATGGGTCTCTATGGGTCTGTATGTATCTATATGGGTCTGTATCTCTATGGGTATCTATATGGGTCTGTATCTCTATGGGTATCTATGGGTCTGTATGTATCTCTATGGGTCTCTATGGGTCTGTATGTATCTCTATGGGTCTCTATGGGTCTGTATGTATCTATATGGGTCTCTATGGGTCTGTATGTATCTATATGGGTCTGTATCTCTATGGGTATCTATATGGGTCTATCTCTATGGGTATCTATGGGTCTGTATGTATCTCTATGGGTCTCTATGGGTCTGTATGTATCTATATGGGTCTGTATCTCTATGGATATCTATGGGTCTGTATGTATCTCTATGGGTCTCTATGTATCTCTATGTATCTCTATGAGTCTGTATGTATCTCTATGTGTCTCTATGTATCTCTACGTGTCTCTATGGATCTCTATGTATCTCTATGGGTATCTATGGGTCTCTATGGATCTCTATGTATCTCTATGGGTCTGTAAGTATCTCTATGGGTCTGTATGTATCTCTATGTGTCTCTATGTATATCTACTTGTGTCTATGGATCTCTATGTATCTCTATGTATCTCTATGGGTCTGCATGTATCTCTATGGGTATCTATGGGTCTGTATGTATCTATATGGGTCTGTATCTCTATGGGTATCTATGGGTCTGTATGTATCTATATGGGTCTGTATCTCTATGGGTCTCTATGGGTCTGTATGTATCTATATGGGTCTCTATGGGTCTGTATGTATCTATATGGGTCTGTATCTCTATGGGTATCTATGGGTCTGTATGTATCTCTATGGGTCTGTATGTATCTATATGGGTCTGTATCTCTATGGATATCTATGGGTCTGTATGTATCTCTATGGGTCTCTATGTACCTCTATGGATCTCTATGTATCTCTATGAGTCTGTATGTATCTCTATGTGTCTCTATGTATCTCTACGTGTCTCTATGGATCTCTATGTATCTCTATGGGTCTCTATGGATCTCTATGTATCTCTATGGGTCTGTAAGTATCTCTATGGGTCTGTATGTATCTCTATGTGTCTCTATGTATATCTACGTGTCTATGGATCTCTATGTATCTCTATGTATCTCTATGGGTCTGCATGTATCTCTATGGGTATCTATGGGTCTGTATGTATCTATATGGGTCTGTATCTCTATGGGTATCTATGGGTCTGTATGTATCTCTATGGGTCTCTATGGGTCTGTATGTATCTATATGGGTATCTATATGGGTCTATATCTCTATGGGTATCTATGGGTCTGTATGTATCTATATAGGTCTGTATCTCTATGGGTATCTATGGGTCTGTATGTATCTCTATGGGTCTCTATGGGTCTGTATGTATCTCTATGTATCTCTATGGGTCTGTATCTTTATGGGTATCTATGGGTCTGTATGTATCTATATGGGTCTATCTCTATGGGTCTGTATGGGTCTGTATGTATCTATATGGGTCTGTATCTCTATGGGTCTGTATGTATCTATATGGGTCTGTATCTCTATGGGTATCTATAGGTCTGTATGTATCTCTATGTGTCTCTGTGGGTCTGTATGTATCTCTATGGGTCTGTATCTCTATGGGTATCTATGTGTCTGTATGTATCTCTATGGGTCTGTACCTCTATGGGTATCTATGGGTCTGTATGTATCTATATGGGTCTGTATCTCTATGGGTATCTGGTTCTGTATGTATCTATATGGGTCTGTATCGCTATGGGTATCTATGGGTCTGTATGTATCTCTATGGGTATCCATGGGTCTGTATGTATCTCTATGGGTCTCTATGGATCTCTACGAGTTTACAGAGCATTTTGCTGCTATACATTCCCACGTGATGCCGACGATGATCCACGCTTCGTCGTGATAGCTTCTGAAACGTGCCAAGCGTCTATGGGCAGCAACGCGACCTCCCTCACCAGGCAGACGTGCGGCTTGAGCACGCGTTTGACGTCCGTGGAGAACTTCACCTCCTCCACTGGTGCCGTCACCTCCTCCAACTCCTGCTCCTTCTCCTCCTCCTCCTCCTGCTGCTGCTGCTGCTGCTGCTCCACCTCCTGCTCCACCTCCTGCTCCACCTCCTTCTCCACCTCCTTCTTCTGCTCCTCCACCACCACCACCACCTGCCCCTTCTGCTGCTGCACGTTCCTCACTATCACCGGCTTCCTCCTCACACCTGGAGGGGAGGGAGGGAGGTGAGGGAGGTGAGGGAGGGAGGGGAGGGAGGTGAGGGAGGGAGGGAGGGGGGAGGGAGGAGGGAGGGAGGTGAGGGAGGTGAGGGAGGGAGGGAGGTGAGGGAGGGAGGGAGGTGAGGGAGGGAGGTGAGGGAGGGAGGGAGGGGGGGAGGGAGTGAAGGAGGGAGGGGGGGAGGGAGTGAAGGAGGAAGGTGAGGAAGGTGAGGGAGGTGAGGGAGGTGAGGGAGGTGAGGGAGGGAGGGAGGTGAGGGAGGGAGGGAGGTGAGGGAGGGAGGTGAGGGAGGTGAGGGAGGGAGGGAGGGAGGTGAGGGAGGGAGGTGAGGGAGGTGAGGGAGGTGAGGGAGGAGAGGGAGGTGAGGGAGGGAGGGAGGGAGGTGAGGGAGGGAGGTGAGGGAGGTGAGGGAGGTGAGGGAGGAGAGGGAGGTGAGGGAGGGAGGGAGGGAGGTGAGGGAGGGAGGTGAGGGAGGTGAGGGAGGAGAGGGAGGTGAGGGAGGGAGGGAGGGAGGTGAGGGAGGGAGGTGAGGGAGGTGAGGGAGGTGAGGGAGGAGAGGGAGGTGAGGGAGGGAGGGAGGGAGGTGAGGGAGGGAGGTGAGGGAGGTGAGGGAGGTGAGGGAGGTGAGGGAGGGAGGTGAGGGAGGTGAGGGAGGTGAGGGAGGTGAGGGAGGTGAGGGAGGGAGGTGAGGGAGGTGAGGGAGGTGAGGGAGGTGAGGGAGGTGAGGGAGGTGAGGGAGGGAGGGAGGTGAGGGAGGGAGGAGAGGGAGGGAGGTGAGGGAGGTGAGGGAGGGGTGAGGGAGGTGAGGGAGGTGAGGGAGGTGAGGGAGGGAGGAGAGGGAGGTGAGGGAGGTGAGGGAGGGAGGTGAGGGAGGGAGGGAGGGGGGGAGGGAGTGAAGGAGGGAGGTGAGGGAGGTGAGGGAGGGAGGAGAGGGAGGTGAGGGAGGGAGGGAGGTGAGGGAGGGAGGAGAGGGAGGGAGGTGAGGGAGGTGAGGGAGGGGTGAGGGAGGGAGGGGTGAGGGAGGGCGATGCAGAGCAACGACTACAATGTTATTATTCAGGCGCTCATGCCCACATCACCGCGTCAGGAGCAGCAGCGGAGTAGTAGTGTATCATCACCGTCATCGTCGTCATCGCCATCGCCATCGCGATGTCTCCTCGTTATTGTTTTGTGGATCGGGGCCACCGTCGTTACGCGTTGTGCTCCGGTCTCCGTTCTAGATGACTACCGTTGCACCGCTACCACCGGAGTGTTTTTAATTTGACATGTGTGCATCGGGCATCTGCCATGGTCTGAACCACCCCCGGAACCCTCTCTGTAGGCAAGGCTGCCCGAGTATCGCCCCTCTCCGTGTGTGTGAGGAGTCTGAGAGTAGTTGGCACAGCAGAGGGCACAGCTGGTGGTGAATCTGCCATTCATCTCAGTCAGTCAACCCACGGTACCACCTGCAGGGTCTGCCCCGTGACCTCCTGCACCTAGCCTGGCACAGCAAGGGAGCACTGCCGGTCATCTCAGTCAGTCAACCCACGGTACCACCTGCAGGGTCTGTCCCGTGACCTCCTGCACCTAGCCTGGCACAGCAAGGGAGCACTGCCGGTCATCTCAGTCAGTCAACCCACGGTACCACCTGCAGGGTCTGTCCCGTGACCTCCTGCACCTAGCCTGGCACAGCAAGGGAGCACTGCCGGTCATCTCAGTCAGTCAACCCACGGCACCACCTGCAGGGTCTGCCCCGTGACCTCCTGCACCTAGCCTGGCACAGCAAGGGAGCACTGCCGGTCATCTCAGTCAGTCAACCCACGGCACCACCTGCAGGGTCTGCCCCGTGACCTCCTGCACCTAGCCTGGCACAGCAAGGGAGCACTGCCGGTCATCTCAGTCAGTCAACCCACGGCACCACCTGCAGGGTCTGCCCCGTGACCTCCTGCACCTAGCCTGGCACAGCAAGGGAGCACTGCCGGTCATCTCAGTCAGTCAACCCACGGCACCACCTGCAGGGTCTGCCCCGTGACCTCCTGCACCTAGCCTGGCACAGCAAGGGAGCACTGCCGGTCATCTCAGTCAGTCAACCCACGGCACCACCTGCAGGGTCTGCCCCGTGACCTCCTGCACCTAGCCTGGCACAGCAAGGGAGCACTGCCGGTCATCTCAGTCAGTCAACCCACGGCACCACCTGCAGGGTCTGTCCCGTGACCTCCTGCACCTAGCCTGGCACAGCAAGGGAGCACTGCCGGTCATCTCAGTCAGTCAACCCACGGTACCACCTGCAGGGTCTGACCCGTGACCTCCTGCACCTAGCCTGGCACAGCAAGGGAGCACTGCCGGGCATCTCAGTCAGTCAACCCACGGCACCACCTGCAGGGTCTGCCCCGTGACCTCCTGCACCTAGCCTGGCACAGCAAGGGAGCACTGCCGGCCATCTCAGTCAGTCAACCACGGCACCACCTGCAGGGTCTGCCCCGTGACCTCCTGCACCTAGCCTGGCACAGCAAGGGAGCACTGCCGGCCATCTCAGTCAGTCAACCCACGGCACCACCTGCAGGGTCTGCCCCGTGACCTCTTGCCAGCGGGGCCCTCTGCCACTTCACGCGAAAGCCTCAAAGTGCACCTGGCCTGGCACGGGCACCGTGGTGACGTCACCGCCACCTAGTGGCGAACGGCGGTGGTGGCGGTGGTGGTGGCGGTGGCGGTGTTGGGGTGCCAGCAGCATCACTCACACTCCTCGCTGGGGTCCAGCTTCAACTTGACCCGGCGCTGCCGGCTGGAACGCCGCACCGCTGGCTGGGCGGTGCGCTGCTTCGCCGCTGTGGCAGGAGGAGGTGGGGACGGAGGAGGTGGGGACGGAGGAGGTGGGGACGAGGGAGGTGGGGGGGATCGTGGTGGCACGGCTGTGCGCTTGTGCTCTGTTGGAGCAAGAGAGAGAAGGCGGGAGGGTGTTGATCAAAAAAAATGTGCGCGTGCGTACGTTGAACGTCTTTTGAACCATAGGTAGCCAACCATAGCTGATCTGAGGTGCGAGTCTATGGGGGTGTCTGCCTGAGTCTGTGTGTGTTGAACGTCTCTTGAACCATAGGTAGCCAGCCGTGGCTCATCGGAGGTGCGAGGAGAGAGTGTGGGTGTGAGTCTATGGGGGTGTCTGCCTGAGTCTCTGTGTGTTGAACGTCTCTTGAACCATAGGTAGCCAGCCGTGGCTCATCGGAGGTGCGAGGAGTGAGTGTTGGTGCGAGTCTATGGGGGTGTCTGCGTGAGTCTGTGTGTGTTGAACGTCTCTTGAACCATAGGTAGCCAGCCGTGGCTGACGGAGGAGCGAGGAGTGTGGGTGTGAGTCTATGGGGGGTCTGCGTGAGTCTGTGTGTGTTGAACGTCTTATGAACCATAAGTAGCCAACCCTGGCTAATCGGAGGAGCGAGGAGTGAGTGTGGGTGCGAGTCTATGGGGGTGTCTGCCTGAGTCTCTGTGTGTTGAACGTCTCTTGAACCATAGGTAGCCAGCCGTGGCTCATCGGAGGTGCGAGGAGTTAGTGTTGGTGCGAGTCTATGGGGGGTCTGCGTCAGTCTGTGTGTGTTGAACTTCTCTTGAACTATAGGTATCCAGCCGTGGCTGATCTGAGGTGCGAGTCTATGTGGGGTCTGCCTGAGTCTGTGTGTGTTGAACATCTCTTGAACCATAGGTAGCCAACCCTGGCTCATCGGAGGTGCGAGGAGTGAGTGTTGGTGCGAGTCTATGGGGGGTCTGCGTCAGTCTGTGTGTGTTGAACGTCTCTTGAACCATAGGTAGCCAGCCGTGGCTGACGGAGGTGCGAGGAGTTAGTGTTGGTGCGAGTATATGGGGTGTCTGCGTGAGTCTGTGTGTGTTGAACTTCTCTTGAACTATAGGTATCCAGCCGTGGCTGATCTGAGGTGCGAGTCTATGTGGGGTCTGCCTGAGTCTCTGTCTGTTGAACGTCTCTTGAACCATAGGTAGCCAGCCGTGGCTCATCAGAGGTGCGAGGAGTGAGTGTTGGTGCGAGTCTATGGGGTGTCTGCGTGAGTCTGTGTGTGTTGAACGTCTCTTGAACCATAGGTAGCCAGCCGTGGCTGACGGAGGAGCGAGGAGTGTGGGTGTGAGTCTATGGGGGGTCTGCGTGAGTCTGTGTGTGTTGAACTTCTCTTGAACCACAGGTAGCCAGCCGTGGCTGATCTGAGGTGCGAGGAGTGAGTGTGGGTGCGAGTCTATGGGGGTGTCTGCGTCAGTCTGTGTGTGTTGAACGTCTCTTGAACCATAGGTAGCCAACCGTGGCTGACGGAGGAGCGAGGAGTGTGGGTGCGAGTCTATGGGGGGTCTGCGTGAGTCTGTGTGTGTTGAACGTCTTATGAACCATAAGTAGCCAACCCTGGCTAATCGGAGGAGCGAGGAGTGAGTGTGGGTGCGAGTCTATGGGGGTGTCTGCCTGAGTCTCTGTGTGTTGAACGTCTCTTGAACCATAGGTAGCCAGCCGTGGCTCATCGGAGGTGCGAGGAGTTAGTGTTGGTGCGAGTCTATGGGGGGTCTGCGTCAGTCTGTGTGTGTTGAACTTCTCTTGAACTATAGGTATCCAGCCGTGGCTGATCTGAGGTGCGAGTCTATGTGGGGTCTGCCTGAGTCTGTGTGTGTTGAACATCTCTTGAACCATAGGTAGCCAACCCTGGCTCATCGGAGGTGCGAGGAGTGAGTGTTGGTGCGAGTCTATGGGGGGTCTGCGTCAGTCTGTGTGTGTTGAACGTCTCTTGAACCATAGGTAGCCAGCCGTGGCTGACGGAGGTGCGAGGAGTTAGTGTTGGTGCGAGTATATGGGGTGTCTGCGTGAGTCTGTGTGTGTTGAACTTCTCTTGAACTATAGGTATCCAGCCGTGGCTGATCTGAGGTGCGAGTCTATGTGGGGTCTGCCTGAGTCTCTGTCTGTTGAACGTCTCTTGAACCATAGGTAGCCAGCCGTGGCTCATCAGAGGTGCGAGGAGTGAGTGTTGGTGCGAGTCTATGGGGTGTCTGCGTGAGTCTGTGTGTGTTGAACGTCTCTTGAACCATAGGTAGCCAGCCGTGGCTGACGGAGGAGCGAGGAGTGTGGGTGTGAGTCTATGGGGGGTCTGCGTGAGTCTGTGTGTGTTGAACTTCTCTTGAACCACAGGTAGCCAGCCGTGGCTGATCTGAGGTGCGAGGAGTGAGTGTGGGTGCGAGTCTATGGGGGTGTCTGCGTCAGTCTGTGTGTGTTGAACGTCTCTTGAACCATAGGTAGCCAACCGTGGCTGACGGAGGAGCGAGGAGTGTGGGTGCGAGTCTATGGGGGGTCTGCGTGAGTCTGTGTGTGTTGAACGTCTTTTGAACCATAGGTAGCCAACCCTGGCTGATCGGAGGCGTGGGTGAAGGACAACAAACTAAACCAGCCTGTCAATCGAGACGATCTCCATCTAGATGGCAGCCCCAGCGGCCTTACAACATCGGAAGGGGGAAGAGCGTTCCAGACGGCCGCCGCAGGAGCGGCGGCCGTCTGCAAGCGCCGCGCGATGGCGACCGCTGTGACGGTCGTCTTTGTCGTTCAATGGCGAGGCAAAGGCCGCCTCAACGTGCACGCGAGCGGCCTCAACGTGCACGTTAGAGGCCTCAACGTGCACGTTCAGGCCTCAACGTGCACGTTCAGGCCTCAATGTGCACGTTAGAGGCCTCAACGTGCACGTTCAGGCCTCAACGTGCACGTTAGAGGCCTCAACGTGCACGTTCAGGCCTCAACGTGCACGTTAGATGCCTCAACGTGCACGTGAGCGGCCTCAACGTGCACGTGAGCGGCCTCAACGTGCACGTTAGAGGCCTCAACGTGCACGTTAGAGGCCTCAACGTGCACGTTAGAGGCCGCCTCAACGTGCACGTTCAGGCCTCAACGTGCACGTTAGAGGCCTCAACGTGCACGTTAGAGGCCTCAACGTGCACGTTAGAGGCCGCCTCAACGTGCACGTTAGAGGCCTCAACGTGCACGTGAGCGGCCTCAACGTGCACGTGAGCGGCCTCAACGTGCACGTTAGAGGCCGCCTCAATGTGCACGTTAGAGGCCTCAACGTGCACGTTAGAGGCCTCAACGTGCACGTTAGAGGCCTCAACGTGCACGTTAGAGGCCTCAACGTGCACGTTAGAGGCCTCAACGTGCACGTTAGAGGCCTCAACGTGCACGTTCAGGCCTCAACGTGCACGTTAGAGGCCTCAACGTGCACGTTCAGGCCTCAACGTGCACGTTAGAGGCCTCAACGTGCACGTTCAGGCCTCAATGTGCACGTTAGAGGCCTCAACGTGCACGTTCAGGCCTCAATGTGCACGTTCAGGCCTCAACGTGCACGTTAGAGGCCTCAACGTGCACGTTAGAGGCCTCAACGTGCACGCGCGCGACGGCCCCGGCACGGGCGCCGTGGTGACGTCGACGCCGCGTGGTGGTGGTGAACGGCGCTTGTTTGTCCTTGTCCTTGTCGTGTGTGCGAGAGAGCGCACGAACGGGTGCCTGCCGCCCGCACCTTTCCTGCTCGCCTCACCGCGGGCGGCCTTGGAGGAGTGCACCGCGGCATTCCTTTGCTTGCGATCTGCTAAAAGTTGAACGAGGAGAGAGAGAGGGGGGGGGAGGTGAACAACAATTTACGTGCGCACGGCTTCCCGCAGACGCCTTCCGACGCGCGTGAATGTCCCCAAGCGTCTCTCTCATCGTCACGGAGATGTTGACCACCTCGCTAGGTATGCAGGAGGTCGTGGGTTTGATCCCGACCCCGACGACGCCTGCTGTGAATTTGGAGTTCGTGTCTCTGTCCCCCATGGTCGCGGTGGATTTTTCTCCGGGTCCGCCGGTTGTTGCCTCCATATAAAGCCACTTTGTTGAGTTGACATCGTTCGCGATGGCCAGGTCGCCGCTGAAAATGCGGGGACTCCTTTACTTACGAACGAATTAGGGTCCAGGTCTGTACGCCGGTCCAACTGTACTCCTGCCGATTCCAAACATGCTGTACGGCATGCACACTAAACGTGGGAAATGGCTTTAAAAGTTGCACAATCTCCTGTAGATGCCACCGATTCGTTATGGTCTTCAGATGTGGATTCCACCGATTCTTCATGTGCTGCAGATGTAGATGCCACCGATTCTTCATGTGCTGCAGATGCCACTGGTTCATCACGTTCTGCAGATGTAGATGCCACTGGTTCTTCACGTTCTGCAGATGTAGATGCCACTGGTCATTCCCGTTCTGCAGATGTAGATGCCACTGGTTCTTCACGTTCTGCAGATGTAAAAGCCACTGGTTCTTGACATTCTGCAGATGTAGATGCCACTGATTCTTCACGTTCTGCAGATGTAGATGCCACTGGTTCTTCACGTTCTGCAGATGTAGATGCCACTGGTTCTTCACGTTCTGCAGATGTAGATGCCACTGGTTCTTCACGTTCTGCAGACGTAGATGCCACTGGTTCTTCACGTTCTGCAGATGTAGAAGCCACTGGTTCTTCACGTTCTGCAGATGTAGATGAAACTGGTTCTTCACGTTCTGCAGATGTAGACGCCACTTGTTCTTCACGTTCTGCAGATGTAGATGCCACTGGTCCTTCACGTTCTGCAGATGTAGATGCCACTGGTTCTTCACGTTCTGCAGATGTAGATGCCACTGGTTCTTCACGTTCTGCAGATGTAAAAGCCACTGGTTCTTCACATTCTGCAGATGTAAAAGCCACTGGTTCTTCACATTCTGCAGATGTAGATGCCACTGGTTCTTCACGTTCTGCAGATGTAGATGCCACTGGTTCTTCACGTTCTGCAGATGTAGATGCCACTGGTTCTTCACGTTCTGCAGATGTAGATCCCACTGGTTCTTCACGTTTTGCAGATGTAGATGCCACTGGTTCTTCACGTTCTGCAGATGTAGATGCCACTGGTTCTTCACGTTCTGCAGATGTAGATGCCACTGGTTCTTCACGTTCTGCAGATGTAGATGCCACTGGTTATTCACGTTCTGCAGATGTAAAAGCCACTGGTTCTTCACATTCTGCAGATGTAGATGCCACTGGTTCTTTGCATTCTACAGATGTAGATGCCACTGGTGTTCACGTTTGCAGATGAAGATGTCACTTGTTCTTCACCTGCTGCAGATGTAGTTGCCACTGGTTCTTCACGTTCTGCAAATGTAAACGCCACTGGTTCTTCACATTCTGCAGATGTAGATGCCACTGGTTCTTCACGTTCTGCAGATGTAGATGCCACTGGTTCTTCACGTTCTGCAGATGTAGATGCCACTGGTTCTTCACGTTCTGCAGATGTAGATGCCACTGGTTCTTCACGTTCTGCAGATGTAGATGCCACTGGTTCTTCACGTTCTGCAGATGTAGATACCACTGGTTCTTCACGTTCTGCAGATGTAGATGCCACTGGTTCTTCACGTTCTGCAGATGTAGATGCCACTGGTTCTTCACGTTCTGCAAATGTAGATGCCACTGGTTCTTCACGTTCTGCACATGTAAATGCCACTTGTTCTTCACGTTCTGCAGATGTAGATGCCACTGGTTCTTCACGTTCTGCAGATGTAGATGCCACTGGTTCTTCACGTTCTGCAGATGTAGATGCCACTGGTTCTTCACATTCTGCAGATGTAGATGCTACTGGTTCTTCACGTTCTGCAGATGTAGATGCTACTGGTTCTTCACGTTCTGCAGATGTAGATGCCACTGGTTCTTCACGTTCTGCAGATGTAAAAGCCACTGGTTCTTCACATTCTGCAGATGTAGATGCCACTGGTTCTTCACGTTCTGCAGATGTAGATGCTACTGGTTCTTCACGTTCTGCAGATGTAGATGCCACTGGTTCTTCACGTTCTGCAGATGTAGAAGCCACTGGTTCTTCACGTTCTGCAGATGTAGATGCCACTGGTTCTTCACGATCTGCAGATGTAGATGCCACTGGTTCTTCACGTTCTGCAGATGTAGATGCCACTGGTTCTTCACGTTCTGCAGATGTAGATGCCACTGGTTCTTCACGTTCTGCAGATGTAGATGCCACTGGTTCTTCACGTTCTGCAGATGTAGATGCCACTGGTTCTTCACGTTCTGCAGATGTAGATGCCACTGGTTCTTCACGTTCTGTAAATGTAGATGCCACTGGTTACTCACGTTCTGCAGATGTGAATGCCACTGGTTCTTCACGTTCTGCAGATGTAGATGCCACTGGTTCTTCACGTTCTGTAAATGTAGATGCCACTGGTTACTCACGTTCTGCAGATGTAAATGCCACTGGTTCTTCACGTTCTGCAGATGTAGATGCCACTGGTTCTTCACGTTCTGCAGATGTAGAAGCCACTGGTTCTTCACGTTCTGCAGATGTAGATGCCACTGGTTCTTCACGTTCTGCAGATGTAGATGCCACTGGTTCTTCACGTTCTGTAAATGTAGATGCCACTGGTTACTCACGTTCTGCAGATGTGAATGCCACTGGTTCTTCACGTTCTGCAGATGTAGATGCCACTGGTTCTTCACGTTCTGCAGATGTAGATGCCACTGGTTCTTCACGTTCTGTAAATGTAGATGCCACTGGTTACTCACGTTCTGCAGATGTAAATGCCACTGGTTCTTCACGTTCTGCAGATGTAGATGCCACTGGTTCTTCACGTTCTGCAGATGTAGAAGCCACTGGTTCTTCACGTTCTGCAGATGTAGATGCCACTGGTTCTTCACGTTCTGCAGATGTAGATGCCACTGGTTCTTCACGTTCTGCAGATGTAGATGCCACTGGTTCTTCACGTTCTGCAGATGTAGATGCCACTGGTTCTTCACGTTCTGCAGATGTAGATGCCACTGGTTCTTCACGTTCTGCAGATGTAGATGCCACTGGTTCTTCACGTTCTGCAGATGTAAATGCCACTGGTTCTTCACGTTCTGCAGATGTAGATGCCACTGGTTCTTCACGTTCTGCAGATGTAGATGCCACTGGTTCTTCACGTTCTGCAGATGTAGAAGCCACTGGTTCTTCACGTTCTGCAGATGTAGAAGCCACTGATTCTTCACATTTTGCAGATGTAGATGCCACTGGTTCTTCACGTTCTGCAGATGTAGAAGCCACTGGTTCTTCACGTTCTATAGATGTAGATGCCACTGGTTCTTCACGTTCTGCAAATGTAGATTCTACTGGTTCTTCACGTTCTGCAGATGTAGATGCCACTGGTTCTTCACGTTCTGCAGATGTAGATGAAACTGGTTCTTCACGTTCTGCAGATGTAGACGCCACTGGTTCTTCACGTTCTGCAGATGTAGATGCCACTGGTTCTTCACGTTCTGCAGATGTAGATGCCACTGGTTCTTCACGTTCTGTAGATGTTGATGTCACTGATTCTTCACGTTCTGCAGATGTAGATGCCACTGGTTCTTCACGTTCTGCAGATGCCACCACCGCCATCTATTGCACGGCGGTTGAACTTACACCTCTGGGTCCTAACAGGCAACTGGACACATACGGGACCGGTTTGTTTGTATCTCTGAAAGTTAATAAGTCGAATGTTCGTAAGTAGAGGAGTCCCTGTAGCTAAATAATAGTTATTTGACGGCATGCCACGTGGGCCCCCTGGGCCACCACATGGGGTACTATCAGAATAAAGCAGGCGGACAGACGGTGGCGACCGCCCCTCAACCACGCGCACGGCACCACGGGAGGCCGGCCCTACCGTGGGTGTGGCCGCCCTTGCGGTGGTCCCGGCGTGCGTTGGCCGGCTGCTGCCGTGCGTCTCTCCGGCCATTGGCTGCGACCCTAGCCATGGTCTCCCTGCACGCCACACACACCCACACACACATATACACATACATACACACACATATACAAACACGCACACTCACACATACACACCCACACACACACACGCGTAACCACACATGTAACCACATGCACACACACGCGCATAGCCACATGCACACACACACACATAGCCACATGCACGCACACGCACATAGCCACATGCACACACACGCGCATAGCCACATGCACACACACGCGCATAGCCACATGCACACACACACGCGCATAGCCACATGCACACACACACGCGCATAGCCACATGCACACACACGCGCATAGCCACATGCACACACACGCGCATAGCCACATGCACACACACACGCGCATAGCCACATGCACACACACGCGCATAGCCACATGCACACACACGCGCATAGCCACATGCACACACACACGCATAGCCACATGCACACACACACGCATAGCCACATGCACACACATAGCCACATGCACACACACACGCATAGCCACATGCACACACACACGCATAGCCACATGCACACACATAGCCACATGCACACACACGCGCATAGCCACATGCACACACACACGCATAGCCACATGCACACACACACGCATAGCCACATGCACACACATAGCCACATGCACACACACACGCATAGCCACATGCACACACACACGCATAGCCACATGCACACACACACGCATAGCCACATGCACACACACACGCATAGTCACATGCACACACACACGCACACAGCCACATGCACACACACACAGCCACATGAACACACACATGCACATAGCCACATGCACACACACGCATAGCCACATGCACACACACACATGCACATAGCCACATGCACACACACGCATAGCCACATGCACACACACACATACATAGCCACATGCACACACACACGCATAGCCACATGCACACACACACATACATAGCCACATGCACACACACACACGCATAGCCATGCACACACACGCACATAGCCACACACGCATAGCCATGCACACACACACGCGTAGCCATGCACGCACACACACGCGTAGTCACACGCAAATTTCATATACGGTACATTAAACACTACGCACATACAACTTAAAACAATGGAAACACCTGGACGCAATAAACTTCGGTAATGTAAAAGCAATAAACATAGAGACGGTGCGATCTGGCGAAAAGTTGCTTTACGTAACATGCACACACACAGCCACATGCACACACTGCTGACATCACCCCGTGGTGCAGTCTCATTGAGATGACTGGAGTGGTGAAGCACGTCACAGTAAATACGGTAACTTTTAACGGCAGGATATTTATTTTGTGTCTATTTGTATGTTTATTAACGTCAATTTCACATAGTAAACACATTTAAAGCGCTAATAAAACACACACACACAACACCTACAAACATCTTATGCAAGAATATGCACAAATAACCCTTTTTAAATAATGACTGAGTGAATATCCGCCGTTTTTTTTTAAAATACAGCACCCCCTTTCCCCCCTAAGTCTCCAGATAATACTGGTAGGTAACGTAGTGGACTGGAAGCCCAACCGGGATTAATTCACAGGAGGCAGGCGATTTTAATTGTGTATGTCTGTGGATGTCTGTCCACGTGTATCCGGACACCCGGATATATAAAAACATCGCCACCTAGCGCCCATTTATACTGGTACTGGTAGGAAACGTAGTGGACTGGAAGCCCAACCGGGATTAATTCTCACAGGAGGCAGGGGATTAATTGTGTATGTCTGTGGATGTCTGTCCACGTGGGAGGGGTGTGGCTGGGTGGAGAGGGGAGGGGCTGGATGGGGAGGGCTGGGTGGGGAGGGGAGAGTGGGGAGGGGCTGGGTGGGGAGGGTGGGACTGGGTGGGAGGGGTGGGCCTGGGTGGGGAGGGGCTGGTCACCCCGTGGTGCCCTTATAAAACTCAACGTTTAACCTACTCACGCCGGCTTGTGCCCGCCCTCACAGTCGGGCATATTGTTGCGGAATGCACCACGTGGTGGTGCCGCCGTTGACCCTGGCCATTGACCGAGCAACCCAACGTTCCTACCGGCTCCCCCCTCCGCAGGAGAATGTGTTCGTGGATCTACTCTAGAGCTCTCTTCTCAGAAGCCCTGACATGGCCATCACAAATGAACGCAGCTCAACGAAGTGACTCATCATCATCATCATCGTCACCGTCACGTGGAGATTCGCAGCAGCAGCAACACTCTCAGGCGCGTGATGTCGATTCTCAATGTGGAGCGGAAAAACCGGAGGACCCGGAGAACAATTCACACAACCACAGGTACAGAGAGACACGCAGACGCAGGTAGTTAACATCTCTTAGCCACCGTGATGGTGAGAGAGACACGCAGACCCCAAATATACAGCAGTTGTCAGGTGCCGTGATCGAACCCACGACCTCCTGTATACAAGGCGAGGTAGTTAACATCTCCTAGCCACCGTGATAATGAGACACAGACCTCCTGTAGACCAGGCGAGGTAGTTAACATCTCCTAGCCACCGTGAGATGATGGAGAGAGAGACACAGACCTCCTGTAGACCTGGCGAGGTAGTTAACATCTCCTAGCCACCGTGAGATGATGGAGAGAGAGACACAGACCTCCTGTAGACCAGGCGAGGTAGTTAACATCTCATAGCCACCGTGAGATGATGGAGAGAGAGACACAGACCTCCTGTAGACCAGGCGAGGTAGTTAACATCTCATAGCCACCGTGATGGTGATGAGAGAGAGACACAGACCTCCTGTAGACCAGGCGAGGTAGTTAACCACCGTGAGATGATGGAGAGAGAGACACAGACCTCCTGTATACCAGGCGAGGTAGTTAACATCTCAACACCAAACTCAACAAAGATCGCCCCCCCCCCCACCCCCATATAGCCTTAACAGACTTTTGGAGAAAGTGCTGTTAGCGGAGCACCCATGAAGGCTAAACACGCACGCAAAATCTAACTGGTATTGGCCAAGTCAAATCCCAAACGCTGAACACGGCCACCGCTACTGCAAAAAGGAGTCTTGAAACTCGGCGAGGCTTTCCCCGGGCCCAGCGAGCGGAATAGATGTTTGGTGGTGGAGGGGGGAGGGGGAGTCTTACTACGACAGAAATACTGCCGGAACATTGTCGCCCAACTTACGAATCAAATATGATATCACTTGCAATACAATACTCATTGCTGCTTTTAGTGTTTAGTTTGGTGTCGCTCCCCCGCACCTCCGATTAGCCACGATCGGCGTACGTATGGTTCGAAAGAAGTTCAACATACGTACTACGCGATGCACTACTATACACTACACTATACACTACACACGACACTACGCACTACACATTACACTACACAATATACTACATATTACAATACACTAGTGTACACTACACTACTGTACACTACACACGACTAAACAATACATTATACACTACTATACACTACACATGACACTACGCACTACACATTACACTATATACTACACATTACAATACACTACTGTACACTACACTACTGTACACTACACACAAATAAACAATACATTATACACTGCTATACACATTACAATATACACTATAATACATACACTACTGTACACTACACATACTAAACAAAACACTACACTACTATACACTACACATTACACTATATACTACACATTACAATACACTACTGTACACTACTGTACACTACACACAAATAAACAATACATTATACACTACTATACACATTACAATATACACTACACACGACACTACGCACTACACATTACACAATATACTACACATTACAATACACCAGTGTACACTACACTACTGTACACTACACACGACTAAACAATACATGATACACTACTATACACTACACATTACACTATATACTACACATTACAATACACTACTGTACACTACACTACTGTACACTACACACTACTAAACAATACATTATACACTACTATACACTACACACGACACTACACACGACACTACGCACTACACATTACACTATATACTACACATTACAATATACACTACAATACATACACTACTGTACACTACACATACTAAACAAAACACTACACTACTATACGCTACACTACGATACCAAATGAAAACTAGTTTCTCTCTAACTGCTTTTTGTGTCTTCTTGCGTTCTTTCGGTAAAGTCACCACCACGTAGAATGAGAATAAAAACAATAAAACAACACGATGAAATTCTCACGACGTTTTTTTGGCCACAACGCAAAGCGGCCGTCTTCAGGTGAAAGGAACAGACCTGTCGGGACGACAGAGCTTCGTTTCCTTCACCACAGCGCCTCCTATTAGCCACGGTCGGCTACGTACGACGGTGGGAAAGACATTCAACACACACACACACAAACTTGGGTATAACATCGGCAGCTAAGGGTGGTCGTTCAATAGCTCTGCGGCGTTGATACACCGACAATGAAAGCTGCGTTCAACTCCATTACGATTCATAATTGATGTTTGCGTCGGGGCCAGGTTCACGCCCCGACTAAGCCTGTGTCGTTCATACCCTCCACCACCTGACACGGACCGTACAACGTCCGTTTAATATTGCGGGCGTCCCGGTGGCTAGGAGATGTTAACTACCTCGCATGGTGTACAGGAGGTCTGTGTCTCTCTCTCATCATCATCAACACGGTGGCTATGAGATGTTGACTACCTCGCCTGGTCTACAGGAGGTCTGTGTCTCTCTCATCATCATCATCACGGTGGCTAGGAGATGTTAACTACCTCGCCTGGTGTACATGAGGTCTGTGTCTCTCTCTCATCATCATGGTGGCTATGAGATGTTAACTACCTCGCCTGGTGTACAGGAGGTCGTAGGTTCCATCCCGACCCTGACGCCTGCTGCTGTATATTTGTGGAGTTTGCGTATCTCTCTCATCATCATCACCACGGTGGCTAGATGTTAACTACCTCGCCTGGTGTACAGGAGGTCTGTGTCTCTCTCTCTCATCATCATCACGGTGGCTAGGAGATGTTAACTACCTCGCCTGGTTTACAGGAGGTCGTGGGTTCCATCCCAACCCTGATGCCTGTTGTATATTTGGAGTTTGCGTCTCTCTATTTCGCCGTGATCGCGTGGATTTTTCTCTGGATCCTTCGGTTATTCCCCTCCTCGTTTAGAATCAACAGCACGCGTTCAGAGTCTTTGGAAGCTGCTATAAATGTATACGTGATCGTGATAAGCCACTCCGTTGATCAGTATGTATCTGTATGCATCTCTGATAGGTAGCTATGCATCTCTATGGGTCTCTTTGCACATATGTGTATCTATGGGTGTCTGTGTATCTATGGGTGTCTATGTGTCTCTTTGCACATGTGTATCTATGGGTGTCTGTGTATCTATGGGTGTCTATGTGTCTCTGTGGGTGTCTATGCGTCTCTGTGGGTGTCTATGCGTCTCTGTGGGTGTCTATGTGTCTCTGTGGGTGTCTGTGTATCTATGGGTGTCTATGTGTCTCTGTGGGTGTCTATGCGTCTCTGTGGGTGTCTATGCGTCTCTGTGGGTGTCTATGTGTCTCTGTGGGTGTCTATGTGTCTCTGTGGGTGTCTATGTGTCTCTGTGGGTGTCTATGTGTCTCTGTGGGTGTCTGTGTATCTATGGGTGTCTGTGTATCTATGGGTGTCTATGTGTCTCTGTGGGTGTCTATGTGTCTCTATGAGTATCTATGTGTCTCTGTGGGTGTCTATGTGTCTCTGTGGGTGTCTGTGTATCTATGGGTGTCTATGTGTCTCTGTGGGTGTCTATGTGTCTCTGTGGGTGTCTATGTGTCTCTGTGGGTGTCTATGTATCTCTGTGGGTGTCTATGTGTCTCTGTGGGTGTCTGTGTCTCTGTGGGTGTCTATGCGTCTCTGTGGGTGTCTATGTGTCTCTGTGGGTGTCTGTGTATCTATGGGTGTCTATGTGTCTCTGTGGGTGTCTATGTGTCTCTATGGGTATCTATGTGTCTCTGTGGGTGTCTATGTGTCTCTGTGGGTGTCTATGCGTCTCTGTGGGTGTCTATGTGTCTCTGTGGGTCTCTATGTGTCTCTGTGGGTGTCTATGTGTCTCTGTGGGTGTCTATGTGTCTCTGTGGGTGTCTATGTGTCTCTGTGGGTGTCTATGTGTCTCTGTGGGTGTCTATGTGTCTCTATGTGTCTCTATGGGTGTCTATGCGTCTCTGTGGGTGTCTATGTGTCTCTATGGGTGTCTATGCGTCTCTGTGGGTGTCTATGTGTCTCTGTGTATCTCTATGGGTGTCTATGTGTCTCTATTGGTGTCTATGTATCTCTATGGGTGTCTATGTGTCTCTATTGGTGTCTACGTATCTCTATTCGTGTCTATGTATCTCTATGGGTGTCTATAGGTTTCTAATGGGTGTCTATGTGTCTCTATTAGTGTCTATGTATCTCTATGGGTGTCTATGTGTCTCTATTGGTGTCTATGTATCTCTGTGGGTGTCTATGTGTCTCTATTGGTGTCTATGTATCTCTATGGGTGTCTATGTATCTCTATGGGTGTCTATGTGTCTCTATTGGTGTCTATGTATCTCTGTGGGTGTCTATGTGTCTCTATTGGTGTCTATGTATCTCTATGGGTGTCTATAGGTTTCTATGGGTGTATATGTATCTCTATGGGTGTCTATGTGTCTCTATTGGTGTCTATGTATCTCTATGGGTGTCTATAGGTTTCTATGGGTGTCTATGTGTCTCTATCGGTGTCTATGTATCTCTATTGGTGTCTACGTATCTCAATTGGTGTCTATGTGTCTCTATTGGTGTCTATGTGTCTCTATTGGTGTCTATGTATCTCTATTGGTGTCTATGTGTCTCTATTGGTGTCTATGTATCTCTATGGGTCTCTATGTATCTCTATGTGTCTCTATGTATCTCTATGGGTGTCTATGTGTCTCTATGGGTGTCTATGTGTCTCTCTTGGTGTCTATGTATCTCTATGGGTGTCTATGTGTCTCTATGGGTGTCTATGTGTCTCTCTTGGTGTCTATGCATCTCTATGGGTGTCTATGTGTCCCTATTGGTGTCTATGTATCTCTATGGGTGTCTATGTATCTCTGTGTGTCTGTGTCTCTATGGGTGTCTATGCGTCTCTGTGGGTGTCTATGTGTCTCTGTGTATCTCTATGGGTGTCTGTGTCTCTATTGGTGTCTATGTATCTCTATGGGTGTCTATGTGTCTCTATTGGTGTCTATGTATCTCTATGGGTGTCTATGGGTGTCTATGTATCACTATGGGTCTCTATGTATCTCTATGGGTGTCTATGTATCTCTATGGGTGTCTATGTGTCTCTATGCATTCAGAGTCTTTGCCTGCTGCTATACATTATTGCCACACGATGATGAGTATGATGAGTATGATGATTATGATTAAGATTATGAGTATGATGATTATGATGAGTATGATGATATGATGATGAGTATGATGATATGATGATGAGTATGATGAGTCTGATTATGATGAGTATGACGATGATTATGATGAGTATGACGATGATTATGAAGAGTATGATGATGAGTATGATGATTAAGATGAGTATGATGATTATGATGATGAGTATGATGATGATCAGTATGATGATCATGAGTATGATGATGAGTATGATGATGATGAGTATGATGATGAGTATGATGATGAGTAAGATGAGTATGATGATGAGTATGATGATTATGATGACGAGTATGATGATGAGTATGATTATGATCATGTTATAAGCCATTTGGTTCAGCTGCTATCATTCGTGATCGCCAGGCCGCTTGTTAAAAACAATCAAAATTGCAGCTGCTAAAAATTACAAACATTTAGCTACGGCCTCACCATTTCATCTTAAGCGCCACAAATCGCCACATTCGCCGGCAGTAATTCACCGAGCGAGACACGAACAAGTTTTAATCATCGTTTAGAAACGCACAGAAGTACAATAACGTCCTCGTGTATAATAATAAAATAAATTATGCTAAATTGTGGTGTATGGCAGCGCGCGCTCACGATTACTTTTACACACCCCCCCCCCCTTATTAAACAATAACATTACACACACACACGGCCTAACACCGCAACAAGCGACAACGTTGAGTCGTCGTCCACTATAAAACGTTTTAAAGTTAATTAAGTTGTTATAATTCGCTAAACGTGAGGGAAGTTCACAGCGGCCTAGAGGGCCTCAGGCTAAAGGCCTAGGCCGAGGCGCGCCCCGTCTCTCTCCCCCCTCAGCGACACGAATTTAAATACCTCAACATTTTTGTTTAAATTATTAATGGTTTTTTAAATAAAAAAAATAAACCCCCGTCTCTTGTCGCCCGATAATACTTGCAAAAGTTTTGTTATCGGCAAGCAAGTTCGTGTAGGTTTGTCTACAAGAACGTGAGGCAGATATTTCAAAGTCCCGCGGAACTTAAATCAGTTTTTTTTGTTGTTGAGGTTTTAATTCTCGCTTTGTAACAGAATCGCCGCCGTTAATTTACTTTCCTTTCTCTCTCTTCAAACGCCGCTGCTGCTGCTAGAAATCGTTTACACACACGTACAGACAAACACACGGCAGAGCGGCGACAACTTTTAAAGCAACTTTAACTTTTTTTTAAAAAAATGTGTTTTTTTGTAAATTAAATCGCCACAAACCTCGTTTGAGTCGGAATCCCCTCACGCCAGCATCCGCAGGGAGGCGCCGCGCTAAATCATTAATTATTTAAGATTTATAAACTAAAACATTAAACCCCCTTTACAGAACGTCTACAACCAACCACCACCACAACAACAATAATATCGAGAAGCAACGATCTTAAACAAAACGTCTACAACCAACCAACCACCACCACAACAACAACAATAATAACAATAATAATATCGAGAAGCAACGATGTTAATAACGGGCCTACGAGTTCAGTTCGCGGCTTCGCCGTGCCGAGAAGCCGACATTTGGACGGTCGAACGGAACGGATGTCCTTGGTCCGGCCATGGGAATGTGGAATGTCCACCGCTGACTCAAGTTGAGACCGTGTACGCACACGGAGACCGTGTCTAGAAGCCGACATTTGGGCGGTCGAACGGAACGGATGTCCTTGGTCCGGCCATGGGAATGTGGAATGTCCACCACTAACTCAAGTTGAGGCCGTTGTAAGCACACGAAACTGTCTAGAAGCCGACATTTGGGCGGTCGAACGGAACGGATGTCCTTGGTCCGGCCCTGGGAATGTGGAATGTCCACCGCTGACTCAAGTTGAGGCCGTGCCGAGTTGCCGGCATTGGGCGGTCTAACGGAATGGATGCTCTTAGTCCGGCCATGGGAATGTGGAATTGCCACCACTCGCTTAAGTTGGGCTCAGTTCCACGCTTATTTGATGTACGGCATACATAGTCCTGTTTACATCAGCTATCCATAATGTGGCTGTTGCCTGATGAAGCTGGTTGTAATTACTGGCGAAACGTCGAAACTCAGATTGTAAATGTTGTGGCTTGGCTCTCCAACACACCGGTTAGTGCTGTACTAGTACACTACACTATATACTACACTATACACTACTAGACACTACACTATACACTACACTATATACTACACTATACACTAATATACACTACACTATACACTACACTATACACTACTACACACTACACTACTACACACTACACACTATATACTACACTATACACTACTACACACTACACTACTATACACTACACTATACACTACACTACTACACTATACACTACTATACACTATACTACTATACACTACACGACTACACACTACACTACTACACACTACACTGCTATACACTACACTACTATACACTACTAAACACTACACTACTATACACTACACTGCTATACACTACTACACACTACACTATACACTACACTATATACTAGTGCTGTACTAGTGGCGAATTGGCCACGTTCTGTTTACGTGACAAACCCTTACTAGTTGGCTGTGTCGGGTGGTGGCGGGTTCTAACGACACAACATCTATATACTTACATGATCTAACCCAAACAAAACCAACTCTATGATGGATGACATTGGTCTCGAAAGCCTGCTACGGTGTTAAACTACATTGTCTATACCATGCGTGGAGCACAACTGGCACAGCACGCTTCCTATAAACTAAATTATAAACTATTTATATTGTCACCAGGTAAGAGCCCAATGAGCTTCTGTGTCGCTCTTTCTTTCAGAAGCGGCCCGGCCATCACCAACGATCGTGGGCTCATCATCATCACCACCACCACCACCACGTCGATATTCATAGCAGCAGACAAATACACTCTCAACGCGCGGTCATGTCGATACTAAGTAAATGTGGAGGGGAGAAAGCGGAGGACCCCGGAGGAAAATCGGGGAGAGAGACGCGCAGACTCCAAATATACAGCAGGCGACCTCCTGTACACCTGGCGAGGTAGTCAACATCTCATAGCCACCGTGATGATGATGAGAGAGAGACACAGACCTCCTGTATACCAGGCGAGGTAGTCAACATCTCATAGCCACCGTGATGATGATGATGAGAAAGAGACACAGAACTTCTGTAGACCAGGCGAGGTAGTTAACACCTCATAGCCACCGTGATGGTGATGAGAGAGACACAGACCTCCTGTAGACCAGGCGAGGTAGTTAACATCTCATAGCCACCGTGATGATGATGATGAGAGAGAGACACAGACCTCCTGTAGACCAGGCGAGGTAGTCAACATCTCATAGCCACCGTGATGATGATGAGAGACACAGACCTCCTGTAGACCAGGCGAGGCAGTCAACATCTCATAGCCACCGTGATGATGATGATGGAGAGACACAGACCTCCTGTAGTCCAGGCGATGTAGTTAACATCTCATAGCCACTGTGATGATGATGAGAGACACAGACCTCCTGTAGACCAGGCGAGGTAGTCAACATCTCATAGCCACCGTGATGATGATGATGAGAGACACAGACCTCCTGTATACCAGGCGATGTAGTTAACATCTCATAGCCACCGTGATGATGATGATGGAGAGACACAGACCTCCTGTAGACCTGGCGATGTAGTTAACATCTCATAGCCACTGTGATGATGATGAGAGAGAGACACAGACCTCCTGTAGACCAGGCAATGTAGTTAACATCTCATAGCCACTGTGAGGAAGGACAACAAACTAAACCCAAAAGCACTTCAAGAAATGAGTTTTAAATTGAGTATCGTAGTCCACTGTATGCTGTGTAGTGTATAGTGTAGTGTAAAGTAGTGTATAGTAGTGTGTAGTGTAGTGTATTGTGTATAGTCGTGTATAGTGTAGTGTATAGCAGTGTAGTGTATAGTAGTGGTGTATAGTAGCGTAGTGTATAGTAGCGTAGTGTATAGTAGCGTGGTGTATAGTAGCGTGGTGTATAGTAGCGTAGTGTATAGTAGCGTAGTGTATAGTAGCGTAGTGTATAGTAGCGTAGTGGTGTATAGTAGCGTAGTGTATAGTAGCGTAGTGTAAAGTAGCGTAGTGTATAGTAGCGTAGTGTATAGTAGCGTAGTGTATAGTGGTGTATAGTAGCGTAGTGTATAGTAGCGTAGTGTATAGTAGCGTAGTGTATAGTAGCGTGGTGTATAGTAGCGTGGTGTATAGTAGCGTAGTGTATAGTAGCGTAGTGTATAGTAGCGTAGTGTATAGTAGCGTGGTGTATAGTAGCGTAGTGTATAGTAGCGTAGTGTATAGTAGCGTAGTGTATAGTAGCGTAGTCTATAGTGTAGTGTATAGTAGCGTGGTGTATAGTAGCGTAGTGTATAGTAGCGTAGTGTATAGTAGCGTAGTGTATAGTAGCGTAGTGTATAGTAGTGGTGTATAGTAGTGGTGTATAGTAGCGTAGTGTATAGTAGTGGTGTATAGTAGCGTAGTGTATAGTAGCGTAGTGTATAGTAGCATAGTGTATAGTAGCGTAGTGTATAGTAGTGTAGTGTATAGTAGCGTAGTGTATAGTAGTGGTGTATAGTAGCGTAGTGTATAGTAGTGGTGTATAGTAGCGTAGTGTATAGTAGTGGTGTATAGTAGCGTAGTGTATAGTGTAGTGTATAGTAGCGTAGTGTATAGTAGCGTAGTGTATAGTAGTGTAGTGTATAGTAGCGTAGTGTATAGTAGCGTAGTGTATAGTAGCGTAGTGTATAGTAGCGTAGTGTATAGTAGCGTAGTGTATAGTAGCGTAGTGTATAGTAGCGTAGTGTATAGTAGCGTAGTGTATAGTAGCGTAGTGTACTAGTACAGCACACCGGCGTGTTGGAGAGCCAAGCCACAACATTTACAATCCGAGTACGACGCTTCGCCAGTGATTACAACCAGCTTCATCAGGCGACAGCCAGATTTGTGGAGTAGTCTTACTGTTTCATTCCTTAAATAGAGGCGTGGAAGATGTGTTTCTCCGCTCTTGGACAATGAGGCAACGTACATTATATGCATGTGCATTATGCGATCCCTTTGAACGCATCCTTACCGGCTATTGTGTTGACCCAAAAACCCCTACTACAGATGACATCGGTCGCGAAAGCCTACGCGTTTAAACTGTAGTGAATTACGAACGTCTGGTTCAACTTCTTTCGCACCATACGCAGCCACCCGTGGTAATCTGTGCGTGGGTTTGGGGAAGGACAGGAAACTGAGCACAACGAGAAGCAGCTCTAAAGAAATTAGTTTGACAGTCAGGGGCGGGCAACCTTTTTTTTTTTCCCCCAAGGGGCCACGTGGATATTTATGACATCATTCGCAAGGCCATACTAAATTATCAGCTTAAAAAAATTAGCCCGTTCTTGAATTTCGAGTCCCGCCTGCAAGTTGCCTTGGCAGGGGACAGACCAAATGATTTCGCGGGCCCTTACACAGCCCGCGGGTCGGACGTTCCGCACCACATCTATTCCAGACGATGATTTAAAAGTAGTACAGCAAAGGGGCCGTCCATAAATGACGTCACGTGATTTTGGACGATTTTTTTACCCCCCCCCCCCCCCCCCCCCAGAGAGAAATTAAAACATGCTTCAAATCGCTTTAAACTATTTGTCATTGTAGCGCGCGTTTAGTGTGGCGCTGCACTCTGACGTTGTAGGAGAAAACATTTATCATTTATCGAAAAGTCTATTTGATTAAGTAGAACGTGTTGTCCGTATTTACTTATAAAGCTGCTCATTTTGATGTGACGTCACATTTCTCAAACACCACCCCCCACCGCCACGTCACACATCGTCACAAATGTCATTTATGAACGGCCCCATAGCTCCCGGTGGCATCCCATCCTAACATCGGGAAGGGGAAGAGCGTTCCAGACGGCCGCAGAAGCAGCGGCAGTCTGAGCTCCGCGTGATGCATCACCACCAGGGTGACCGGGCTGGGCTGGGGGAGCGTCTGCCTCGTGGTTTTTGCCGAGGGGGTTTCACGATAACGAGAAAACCCTCGGCCGCCCCGGTAAACACCGCGGGTGCGTTAGGCGCTGACGATACCACGTTTGCCGCCTTGCCGCAAGGGCTGACGTTATTAAACGTCGCCGGGACGTTATTCAAAAATTTCGACAATTGCAACGCGAACACCATTTGGTAAATGTTGTCGCGCCTCCGATCATCGCGGTTGGCTGTAAGTTCCGTGTGCGAAAGACGTTCAACATACGTACACACCGCACTATACATTACATGCTACACTACACTATAAACTACACACGACACCATACACGATTATACACTACTACTATACACTGCCATACACTACACTACTATACACTAGACACTACTATACACTACACACTACACCATACGCGATTACACACTACTAAACACTACCATACACTATACACTACACACACTAAACACTACCATACACTATACACTACACACACTAAACACTACTATACACTACACTACCATACACTACACTACCATACACTACACTACCATACACTATACACTACACTACCATACACTATACTACCATACACTATACACTACCATACACTACTATACACTACACTACCATACACTACACTACTATACACTACACACTACCATACACTACACTACTATACACTACCATTATGGTAGTGTATAGTAGTGTAGTGTATGGTAGTACCATACACGACACTACTATACACTACACACTACACCATACGCGATAACACACTACTAAACACTACCATACACTATACACTACACACACTAAACACTACACTACCATACACTATACACTACACTACCATACACTATACACTACACTACCATACACCATACACTACACTACCATACACCATACACTACACTACCATACACCATACACTACACTACCATACACTACCATACACTATACACTACACTACCATACACTACTATACACTACCATACACTATACACTACCATACGCTACACTACCATACACTACACACACCACATTAGATTTAAAACTAATATCTTTAGAGCTGCTTGTTGGATCCAGTGTGTTGTCCTCCCCTAACGTACGGCCCCGAAAGAAGTCCAACCCAC